TTTGTCCTGTTTTCTGCAAAGTGAGCTGCAGCGTGCCGCAGTGCATTGCCAGATCAAAGCAAGACTAATGACTCCAGCAGAGCTTGAGCTCCACGCCATTGAGCCTTGAGAGTTCCTGCTCACCACAAGCTGACAAAAGATGGCAGAAGATAAAGTGGCAGCTAATTACCACAATGAGATGGGAAGAAAAGGCTGACAATACATCATGGAAGCTCAGGAATAAAACATAACCTCCTAGGCAAAAGAATTAAAGCTGGTTTTGTTTCAAATCTGGAAAAAAGATTTTGTGTTTAGAAAATAAATTACCATAATCTCAAACCCCAAAAAACTATTTTTACCTGGCTTGTCTTGTTATAGTTTTTCACACATGACTAACAGAACTACAGAAACAAAGAGGGGTCATTTTGAAGAACATCTTCAGAAATCTGGCCACGTAAGCATCTTTATTTTTCACACTTTCTGCCTCCTGCCTCCATCTCTGCTCAGCTTCATCCTCCTCCTCCTCCTTCCATCTATTTCTCCAATGAAAAGGCTATTAATAGAAAACCCTGCTCTCTTTTTTAAACTGCATAGAGCATCTACTGTGCACTTAAAGGGAGGCAGAAGCTGAAGATACCAGGAGGCATTTGAAAATGTCCTCTACACCGCCTGTGGCTACAAAGACGCTGGCTGTCCTAAGAATAACAACAAACGGGCCTGTGATAGATTTGTGACATTTTATATCAGCACAGATGCTCTTTTTTTTTCTTTTCTAAAAATAGGTCCTCAGATCATTTGCAGACCTTGTGAACATTGAGAAGAAACAGGGTTGGTGTAACGTTATTTAAGAAAACACTTTACCTTTAAGCTGAGAAAGTGAAGAAATTTTACAACAAATCAATAAACACACAAACAACAGTTTCGTTTGAATAATTATTGGCTTCATTATTATTACTTTTGTCATGGTTATGATCATATGGAAGGGTTAAAAGTATTTTCTTTTATTACACATGGTTTTCCCATTCTTAGATTGTCCTTTTTTTTTTGTAAAGTGCAGATAATACTATGTCTTGAATTCAGAATTCACATACAGCATGTAGTACTTTTTTTTTTTTTTACTCAGTCGCTCATTTCATGATTATTTACATTATTCTTCCACATTTCATTTCACAGAAAGAAAATCCGCCATCCACTGCATCAGCATTGTTGTGTGTTTTAGGCCTCGATGATATAGGAGGACAGGGGTGAGGTGAAGAGCTGTACATATAGTTTCAGTGGCTGCAACACTATCAGGCTCCAGGGTCAACAGAAATGTAAAGGACACTGGTTTTCAAACGCACACTTCTGCACAGATTAGATGGAGGAGGTTTGTTATAGAGAGCTGGCATTTCAAAGAAACCTGAAAATCAGAAAGCCAATGTTCACATTTATCATTAGTGGTCAACTCAGAGCAGCAAACTGTTGATGGAGGTTATAACCTTTGCTTTAAGGTTAATTTCAAATGCACCAACAGTTGCCTGATAAAAAATAAACAATAAAATGTCTCTAACCAAACCTTTTCTCACATAAACTATCAGCTTATAGTTATTCTCTGCATAGATTTATCTGTATTTTCATAGCAAGACCTCTTCTCGTGGAGCGGATTTGCTGGCGGGTCCCTCAGCGGGTGACAGATGATATTCTTAGAGACAGCGCTTCTCCCCATGAAATCCTTCTACATCATTTTGCTTCGACTTAAGGATGATGCTGCTCTTTTTTGTGCTTTAAACGGAAATAATTGTAGATGCTAAACTACAATGTTGTGATCTCCGGTGCATGAGATGCTACATATGAACTTTGCAAAGGTACAGTAACATGCACCATAAGACAGATAAATGCTAAGGCGTGAACATTTATCATAGTTTCTGTCCACACAAAAAAAGGAATGAAGACAAAAAAAATGTGGTGCATTTGCATGCATAGACAATTGTTATTTGGTCATAATTTTTTCCCCTCACGTATACAAATATGCAAAAGGCTGTTGCATAAATTCAGCTGCTTAACCACGCTATGCTATTCAATCACTTTCCTCTTTCTAACAAAGATCAACTCTTCGTTTTATATCTTCACACAAAAATCAATACCCAACAGATGACCAATAAGATTTCAGTTTAGAGAGGAAAAAATATGTGTTTTTTTAAAACAACATGCATATTTTCTCACCAAAAAAAACTCTTTTTACCTAAAAACTATGTGAGTATTGCTGATAAAGCTACCTAACTTCCCCCTACCTCAAGTTACTGATAATTTACATTCCATGTTACCTTCAAAATTCTTTTGAAATGCATGTAAAACAATCTATTAAACCCTATTTGGACAGAGACGAATAAAGAAGCCTCATGTCAGGCAGTTGGATGATGCATCCTGAGCACAAACTGGCAGCGATGGCGCTGAAACACTTTTCTACTGCATGTTTAGACTGTGGCGAGCCAAACAAAACAAGATGGAACTCCTGCGATCACAGAATTCGTTGAGACAGTTCTTGCTTCACACCTCCTTCCAATCCATCACCTTTCTAAATATACTGAACATCTGTGGGACGATGCAGAAAGGTAAGAGACAGAGACACATCAGATGATCATTGGGTCAGACGGTATCTGCTACAGTGCTGCTCATTATCACCTCCCGTATTGATGTTACTGCCTTTGACAGTCACCTTGGCAGTGTTGAGCAATCTGTGGAAAGTCTGAGCTGGATATGATCCAAGAAATGGAACCTAATTCACTTTTGGTGCCAACCATTAAAGATACATTGAGCTTCTTTCAACAGAGACTCATTCAGAGGACAATTAGACTTCATTTATATTCCAACCAATGTAATGTCAATAAATTGCCTTTGCATAAAAGTTAGATGTGCTTTAAACAACAATCTGACATTAAACAGCTGTTTACCCCGGGCAGTTTTGATTTAAGTGAAGGGAACTTCTGTAGATACAGCGCATGTGTCAGGTTATCTTAACAAAACGTACCAAACAATTGAAACAAATGAAAAATGGCGAGTGTGTCTTTGGCACTCCGAACAAGCTCTAAAACAAAGAACGGTGCTCAGAACAATTATTGTTACTATTAAAAAAAGAACAATTAGATAACATCACCTTTCAACACTTACAAAGTCTCTGCTAAAAGTTTGTGTACTCCATGTGTTTTCTGTTGGTAGAAATAAATTGGGTGATACATAAGAATTAAATATTTCTATGGCGACAATTTTTTTTCCATCCTAAAGGCTTCCTCTTTTATCCTAAATGCATGCTAGAAATGTTCTTTTAAGGTCATGCAAGACTGGGAGAATAGCTTAAACCCAGATAAATGGCAGGTCAAGGGAGGCTTTTCTCTATACACGATCCCTTAAAAATAGCCATTTTGATCACGAGGATACTACTGGATGAACATGTGAGTAAGACACCGCTGTAAGTCGATCATTTGCTATAATCGAGGCCCAGAAGAGTTCCAGAGTTTTGAGTTTACGTCCCCAATCACAGCTCAATTTACAGCTGTCTGGCAAAAGTTAAATGGCAGCAACTTCTACATGGAATGTTAATATTGATACACATCCTTTTAACTTTAAGAATAATCCTTAAGAAATCTTCAGACTTACAGCTTTGAGTAGTTGTAACAGCTAGCATCGCTTAAGAAGTGTGGATTTGTACAGAAGGCAGTGTGCAGACAGATATACAGTGACCATGTGAAGCAAGTGGCAGTTAGGAAACGAGTAGATCTCATTGAGATAAGAAAGGTCATGCAGTAATCTACCGACTATGTTTTCTAAATACACCACCTACCTATTGGCTATCAGTTCAGTCACAGTTAAGCTCCCTATCTATTCAGATAAGTACAGTAGTTGTGAAGCAGTGAAATACAAAACAAGAAGAAACATTCAAGTTGTCTCAAAGCTCTGCAGTAAGACCAGCTTGGGTGAATGGAGTTGGGGACACCTTGCATTGCAAAAAATACAGTACATTTAAGACCAAAGCAGTGAAAATTCAAGGCGATTCTCAGTCATTCATCAGATACTGATGTCTACGGGGAATAAAAGATGTCAAGCCACAAGCTGAGAGCTGATGGCTGTCATTCATCCTTAAAATAACGGTGTACTTAACCACCAACTTTGTCACAAGCCACCCTCAGGCCAAATCAGCACTGGAGTAGGCTTGCTTTATGCTCATGCATCCTTTTATCGCTAAATGGTGAAGCATAAGACAATTTTGTTTCATTGGCTCCAAGAAGCAGCATATGTAGTGCACGGCAGGCTCTTCAGAAAGTGCGTGTCAGAGCATGTGTCTTGGGAAATGAGGGACGATGAGACAGGAAACAAAAGCAGGGCTTGTGTTGTGTTACGTCTTTTCCTTTTCGACAGCAACATTTCTAAATGTGTTGTCACATTCTT